TATTATTATTACTATTATTAATATTATCATTACCACTATTATGACTAACTGCACAATTTATATTCACCATCGTATTATCCTATAGACAAAACACCATGATTGGTTTATATTTGAATTTTATTTGTAAACTTATATATATTAGAGTTAAGCCTGATGAGATCTAATTGAAAACAATATTGTTCGCTTAAATGTGTTGTTCTAAATTTTACTATGGGAATATTTAATATATTGAAATCTCGCGGGGATCCTATTGCATTTAAGGCACTCAATGAGTACCTGAAATTTAGTGCAAGGCTCGCTGAAGCGAAAACATCGTTGGAATTTTTCAAAGAATGTGTAGAAACCGAACGTTATCCCAAACTATATTGGAGGTCGTTAAGACGAATGAGGATTTATCCTAATTCTAAGAATTTAAAAAGACATGCTCTTAATCAGATTGATTCTGTTAAAACTCTTATAAATGATCTAGAAAGGAATATATCACAAAGACAATTTTCAGTTGATGATTTACCTCAGGAATTACAATTGATGTTCATTGAATATGTTAATAACGTAACAGTAAACAGAAGTAATAATAAAAGGATTAGTCTTGTCAAATCTCTCGAAAGCCAAAAGCTTGAAAGGAAATTTCCGTCAGATCCGGGCCGGTATGTTCACAATTTTTCCAGTATCGTGCTTAATAAGTTTCAATTAGGGGTGTTATCCCTAGGTCCCAAATTTAGTGATTATGCTCCTAAAGTTGATCAATTAGACACTGATATACAGTTTGAAAATTTGTATTCTCAAACGTCAGATCTTACGCCATCGTCGGACGATGAACTAACTAGGTTCAAAACGACGCTAGTGGACAGCTGCCAGCAATACAAGAATAATAAACATTCAGTAAATAGTCTTTTATCTAAACAACACAGAGAAGCTCTAAGAGAACTTAGAAGCAACGAAAGTTTAATCATTAGCAAACCGGATAAAGGTGATGGTATAGTTTTACTGGACAAAAGCGATTATGTTGAGAAAATGGAAGGTATTTTGAGTGATCAAACTAAATTCCAATCGCTTGGTGTTTCCAAAGACCTCAATGTAAGAGCTGAGAAACAAATGACTGACTCCCTCAAAAAACTGAACCAAATAGGAGTATTATCATCAACCACGTATGAGTCCATGAAACCTACGGGTACCAATACTCCACGTCTTTACGGTCTACCAAAAGTGCACAAACCGGGTCTTCCTCTTCGCCCTGTTTTAGATATGTATAACTCTCCATTTCACGGAACAGTGAAGTGGTTAGTTAAAATCCTGGGTCCTTTGCACAGAGAAATTGTGCAACATAGAATTAGTGATGTTTTCGACTGTATTTCTAAAATAACTTAGGTTATCTCAAAAATATCATCAACATGGATGATACGATGGATTCTGCCATTACTTTTAAGATTGTATATTGTTGAAGCATATACTAAAGTCTGTATTACAACTTTATTATACTGAACCTTATAATTTATTGGTTCCTCTCTGCACGTATGATATGAAGTCCAGAACAAACAGTCTGACTCTTCGTAATTTAAACCTTCACCTTTTATCATCTGTTGACTTTTAAATGTTTTGGATTGCATACACAGACACACGCGCACACACACACACAATGCTAACATTCCAGACATAATTCAGTCAGCACTAACGCCAAGAACACTGACGTTTCCCTGATGATCAATGAATGTAACTTCAAATTTAGTTTTGACACTGCTCTATCAGAAATGAATATAGGTTTGTATATATACAATACGCTAAAAAGACGTACTAGGAATCTTAACTGAAATATCTATCACATGTGCTTATCCAGTTAATCTATGATTTAAAGTTTTTCAGGAATATTACAGTTGTTCCTTCTTCTTCTTCTATTTTTTTTTACTTTGGATATGAAACTGATGTTTACACAAAGTTATTGATTTACTTGACCTTCATTCGTATTTCCTTCTGTTCATATCTCAAAAGTACATAAATTATATTACATCTTATCTAAGTCACTATCAGTGAAAATGTAGTTCCCGCTTTTTTATCTTTAAAATATAAAAAGTCATCAGCACAGTTTATGTATCGTGAATATATGAATCCTACTGATCTTACTTGATGTGTTTTACTCGGGGTTGATTGACCATAAATTGAACGCTATGATGTACAAAATAAGTTGGAATAAATAAAGTATAATTATATTTTAATAGTTTACACACAATGATAAGTTTTGTTATTGATTTGATTTATAAAATATCTTGTGCTGACTGTCCAACTAAATATGTGGGGCAAACGTCCAGATCACTCAAAATAAGAGTGAGTGAACATAAACGCCTAACTAAAGGTCAACCAACAGAGACACAAGCTTACAAAAATCTTGAAAAAAATTCATTGATAGTTGCACATGCATGGGACAAAAACCACAATATCGATTGGGACAATGTGTGAATTCTAAAAACAAACATGAACAAATGGAAAGAAAGACTCATAACAGACTTTCTATAGTTTGGTTTGTAAGGATTAGTTATGTTTTACGGGTTGATCACGGATTGATATCAGTTAGAGAACCATTGAAAATCACGAATTAGTAGAAGTTAGAATTCACGAGCCATTGAATCGGGTCCCAGTGGCTGAGTGGTATACGAGCTTGCCTTGTAACCGGAAGGTCCTGGGTTCGAATCCCAGTGGGTGCGTACTGCCGATGATTCCCAAACTAGGATGAAACAGCAGCTGTTCAGTACTCCCTGGTTTTCAATGGTTCTCTAACTGATATCAATCCGTGATCAACCCGTAAAACTCATAACAGAATCGATATTCATTAAAGTCACACCGGATACATGTAACAAGGGTGACTCAGTACAACTATCAACAACTTGGAATATAATTCTAAATACAAACACATGAATGAATGTGGAGTATAATTCTGAACACACATATGCACACACAAAAAATGAATGAGCAAAAAAATAATAATAATGAACTATATATATGAGTACAAATCATAAATGTGTGAATAAAACAATTCCAGCAGTGGTGTGAACACGGGCAGTAATTTTGCTCGAAATATTACCAATAACAATACTTATCATTGTGTGTAAACTATTAAAATATAATTATACTTTATTTGATCTAATCCACAATGCTCAAACTTTTTACTGATATTAAGATGGAATAAGTAGGATTGCAAAATATTAATATCATATGGCGACATCGCTTAAAGTTGGTGGTAATTTTAGAAATAAACAGATTTTTTTTTCAAATGATTTCTACCTTAAGCTCTGAAGTTACGTATCCATTGATTTTCACCGTATAATAAGTAATACATGTAAACTGAAGGGAAATCTGAAACTGGATTAAATTCGAGGTGTTCGTCGGTGGCACATCGGTTGAATGCTCACCAACCACGCCTCATGTGGTCTGGGGTTCGATCCCGGCTACCGACTCACTCCTTTACCTCTCTAAGCCAGTTATAAGACTGATGAAAAGGGAAGGTTGGGCATGAGGCTAGCCACCGCATTCCGTAAAAATGAACACCAATGCTACTGAAAATTCCAGCCTCTAGCTTGAAGTCCCATATTCCACTGGGAACGTAAAGAAAAAAATACGAGGTTGAAGTATAAGATGAAGATGTAGGCAGGTTCATTTGCATCCAGATTTTAATACCCTCATCCTTCAGTGCAAATCAAAATTGTCCATACCATAAATATTATGCTTCGAATGAATTCTGTTATCTGAGGTAATTTTTTTAAAATTCCCTCACGTACCCAGTGGAACATGGGGCTTCAAGCTAGATGCTTGAAGTTTCTGTAGCAGTGGTGTTTATTTTTGCAGGATGGGGTTGCTAGCCTCATGCCCAACCTTCCCTCTTTACCAGCTTTATTTCTGGTTTAGGTAAATGAGTGTGTCGTTGGCCGGGAATCGAACCCCGGACTACATGCATAGTCGGCGAGTGTCTTAATGGCTGTGCCACCAATGGACAGGTGACTACACGAAACCTAGGTACAAATCAACCTGCCAACTGCCTCCAAAAGTCAAACAACAATTCAGAGTGCACTGTGATGGTAATCCACTCAGTATGGGGGTCCCATTGCAAACTCGATTTTATACAATCCAGTCTGTATTAAGCGAAGGCTAGACGCAGAACACTGGTTACTAATTAATATCTATTGTAAGAATTCAGAAGACTTATACATCAGTTTGATGGTGCACTTCTAGCAGAATCTTTCCGTTTATCAGTGAAATACATTATATATTTCCGAATAATCGCACCACTTAAAAAAATAATAATAAAGTAATTCAGTTTTACATTCTGATTAGTTTAATTTTAACTCCTTTTAATTTAACTCCTACAATCATGCTTCATAATTATTGTTAGTTATGGCAATCACATATACACACATCCACACCAGTGCAGTGATGATTACGTATGTGCACACGGACTTGTCTAATTCTATTTACTAAGTTTATCGTTAATCAAATCAGAATTAAGCAAATCATGTATGCAGTCAATTTACAGGTAGACAGAAATGCCTTAGTCTTATAAAAATGAGATGCAAAAAAAAACATTTTTCTGTTCGCTGATTGGCTAATTCGATTAGATCAAATCAGGTTATAAGTTCTGTGTATATAAATGGTTGACAGGGCATAGTTAAAATATCCTTCGTTATTAGTTGGCATTTTATTCTTCTATTTGATGAATTTTTTACCTTTCATAAGAACCAATATAATGTATCCGTAAAATTTACATTATAATGCACATTTACATCAATGCAATGTTGTATTAATATACAAAAGGTATATATTTGAACACTAATTGTAATTTTCGAAAATGATGTTGTTAAACAGCAAACAATATTAAGGCAAAAAAAAGAACAAAAACAAACTAAGTTAGAGGTGTTTCTATGTGATTTTGAAAGTCACTTATCATTGTGCTCATGGTATTTATTATTTACTGTGTATTGGCCGTTAACATTATGACATGATGATGATACTAGAACATGTCCAGAGATCCAAACTTCTGTGATGTGAATTCACCATCTGAACAATCCAACATGCCTCCAACATCTTATTTTTTTGGTGAAACATGTCAAAATATACACAGGGAGCGTGGCAAAACTACGCCTGGTAACAACAGCAACAACAACAATGATAGTGGAAACTGTATTCATGATAAGCGTGAAACAGAAATAACTGAATCTAGTGAAATAGATCTAATTAATGCACGCACGGAAAATGACAATCTTACTCCATCTATCATACTTACATCTGATGATTCTGAATGGAAACCTTGTGAGCAGGATAGTATTTCAAGTATGGAATCTATATCGAATTCACCTAGCCCTAGGACTTCATACAACTCATTGCTACATTGGAGTATTAATAGTCCAGTAGATGAAAAAGGTAAGTAATAACTTAGTCTCTTACACACTGTATATAATGTAACAGTAGTGTACAGTTGGCATCTAAGGTACTAAAACATTTTTTTACTGAAAGATTGTACAAAATACCATAATACAAGATAGATTCAAAAGCACGAAATATCGTGCTCAACTATGAATCCATCTACACCACTGAGAACGACTTTGAGCCGTATGACCGATAGTCCTCAACCACTAGTTCTTATCATGGGGAGGACGCCAACCACGAAAGCTACACCCGCCCTTCGTGGGGTCCTCTTCAAAGTCTTTAGTTTTCCGATAATGCGTATTAAGCCTACTCATCCCTCGATTTATATTTTACTGTACTCTGAGTATCATATTTATTTGTTTCTGAGCTTTTAGCCAACTAAAGTTTCATCCATGATGTGAACATGGCCAAAACCATGATTCTCGTTTGTCTCCGAAAATCATGAATATTAAGGTTTTGTTATTTCAAAGGTCATGACAGGTATACGCCAAACTAGTGCTCAACAGCTTCCTAGATGCTCATGAAATTTACTGATGCTATGCAGTTTCTCTTAGACACCATTTGATTGATATCGGGTTTCTTGCTCTCTGTGGTTCAAATGAACGTAAACAGATCTCAACTGCTGTCAGATGAAGATATGAGCTCCACCTTACTCAAACTGTAATCAACAGATATCACGGTATAGATGTGAGTACAAGACGAATGCAAACCATCATACACATTGTCCAGAAAAATGAACTGACACTCAGGGATTCAGTGATTGTAAATGCGATGCAATACTGCAGTAAAATGCTGAGAATTCCATTTTGTATCTCAAGTACTGTTTTTGAATAAAGCTATTATCATTATTATTATCACAATTTACCTTTGCATACTACCTTCATGATGTTTTATAATTGTTAGTCTATATACTCTGAAGAATAGGTGGCTAATTTTAGAAATACCTTAGTCTCATTTTTGATTTCAGTCGAATTACTTAACTATACGTGTTTAGAATGATTCTGAAAACATGTAGAACAAATTTACCACATTGTAAAACGAGATTCCAGTTTGAGAATATCAACTGGAATAGCATTCCTTTACATACTTGTATCATTGCCATTTGATTGTTGATTGCAATCGGTCTGCACTCCACTGCACAGACATAGATGACGAAAGGAGAATGATTATTTCGGTAGTTCTATCTTTCGTTAATTGGACATTCTGGTTTAACAGAAGAAAAACTGGTGACCACAGATAAACTATCGATTGGTAATCTTTCGGTGCTAACATTTACTGATATACTGCACACTGATGCCATAGGACTTCAAGACAAGCTTACATTATTATTCGTATTGTTATTATTCATCCTCTGGGATCCGAGTGGAACATCAGAGTCTGTGGTATGCTTACATAGAATTCGCTTTCAGAGATTACAGACTAAACAGTTATTAAGGTCATTTAATTGGGAAATATATGTTATGTTAAATATATGTTAGAATTTCCTAACCTTTAAATATAAATTTTTTGGATACATTACTGTGGCTAAGTACGTCACAAGTTGGTTATAGCAGAAAAATTAACTTAAGTATACATCCTCTCCTGTGCACATTTACAATTTTAATCGTTTTAGTACATTAAGTAGTATCGTAAGAACTATGACGATTTCCCCTTACTAATAAATAAAAATTCATATATAAACGTTAAGCCATACGGAAAATTAAAGTGTTTTCAGTGTTATTCTGGAGATTTCTTCGAAGAACTACTTGTATAAATCAGTCAGGTCACATAATTAACTAAAGTCTCCTCATTAGTCCACCAGACTTACTTAATGCAATATCAGTATTTCCTGTTACCTAACCAAAATGTATCCTGTTTTTCAAATTGTTTATATTCTAGCCTATTTTTTACTGTAATTCTGAGAAAAACAATACTTCTTTTGTAAACAGAAGATGAATTCTCATTTAATTCAGGTCTATTAATTTTATTATTATTATTATTACATGTCAAAAATAAATCAATATTGGCATAATCGAATTTATGCAGTCAGAAATTATGGTAACGTTTTTTCGTCATGTCATTTTACGAAAAGCCTGAAGCTGATGTACACACACACATGCACATACACACCGGGAAATACACTTATTTATTATTTTAACTAATTTTGGTCATAACAGTCTATGCTTGGCTTTATTTGCATTGCAAATTATTTTTATTTTTATGGATAGTTACACAACCCATGAACACTTACTTATAGTTACGATATGTATATGTACGTGGGTTGAAACCGGGTAGACGTTAAAGACAACAACCAATTTAGAGGTAAATTCTAGTGTGACTGTTATGATTATTGTTTTTCTGAAAGATCAGTGCTATATTCTATTTGAATCATTTAGTATGTTAATCTATAATAGTACAGGTGGTGGCCATTATTTTTCTATAACTTCTAGTGTAAGATAATACAAGGCAGAGTCTGTCAACTTTTATTTGTTAGAGTTGTATGCCTATCTTACCAACACGCTTGAAATTACTTATCCCCTGATTTCAACTGTACACCATCCACACACTTGAATGAAAAAAGTAGTAGAAGTATACGAACAAGGGTTACTAAGAGTCAAAAGGCGGTGTTGCCTATGTAGTGACAACTTCTCATATGAATTCATGTTAAAGTGTCGTTTTGAATAAGGTGATGTGAACACAACAATATATATATATATATATATATATATATATATATATGTCAGCAAGTATAAAGTGAGTTACATAGCTGATTGTGACATGTTCCATATGTTACCTTGCCTATACATAAGATAAGAAGATATGATTACAATGTAAACTGATGGGAGTTAAATATATAATTAGCATTGGTAACCAAATGTATTAATTTGATATTTGTCAGATATATAGGTCACAATTTTAAAATGAAAGATCTATGCACGTATACCTTTCAAATAATCCAAAAATAGGTTAAAATAGCTTTGTATGGCTTGCTTATCAATGAAGTTAATGCAAGCGATTTCCACTGAATACAATTTATCCGACTAATGTGTCATTTGGGTCCCAGTGGCTTAATGCTATACGAGCTCGCCTTGTAACCAGAAGGTCCTGGGTTCGAATCCCAGTGGGTGCGTACTGCTGAAGAGTCCCAAAATAGGACGAAATAGCTGTCCAGTACTCCTAGGTTTTTTGTGCATCGGTGGCATAGCGGTTAGCACGCTCGCCGGCCCTTCACATGGTCCGGGTTCGATCCCCGGTCACTGACATACTCCTTTACCTAAGCCAGAAATAAAGCTGGTAAAGAGGAGAGGTTGGGCATGAGGCTAGCAACCCCATCCTGTAATAATAATAATAATGATTTACTTTATTCCAAAAACAATACTTGTGATACAGAATGGAATTTTCAGCATTAAAAGTAAACACTGCTACAGAAACTTCAGGCATCTAGCTTGAAGCCCTATGTTCCACTGGGGAACGTGAAGGAAAGAAAGAAAAGAATGTGTCATTATTCACTCTATTATTGTGTCTCATCTCTTGGTGTAGCCGTTAATTGGTATAACTTACACAGTATATTAACACGAAGAAAAGATAAAGAGTGTGACTAGAAAATATTATTCTTCATCTTTAGATAGAATTTGCCGAGTCTTCAAAATCATATGCATCCTTTAAAATAATGTGGAACACTGACTACATTATTGTTGTTATTCTCTTAGGTCTTGAGTAGGGCTCCACCAACACATTACATTGCAGTACATCATCTCCTCTACAGTCACTTCTACCTGCTCACACACAATCTCCCCAATATCACGCTAGGACCAACATCCCACTGGGCGCTCAATTCCCTCTCACGTCCCAATCGAAGATCTATCTGACAAGTGACATCACTCAATGGTCTCCTCCGAGTGTGTCCTATCCATCTCCATTTAACTCAGAATATTCGTTGGGCAACGGGTTTTTGACTGATTCGTTCCCATAGTCTCCAGCTTCTATAAAGGTTTCTGACTGACCATCTGTTCTTCACTGTCAGGCTAGGGAAGACAACTACTGATGAAAGACCACAGTAGCTTGTTCGAATAGCTTTCAGTGATGGACTATGTAGAATAATTGACTGATTTAACATTAGTCTTGAAATCCAAATGTTGTTGTTTATGGTGAATGTATTTAGGTTTCCATACTGATTTCACAGTAATGAAGGTCTATTTCGCCTTTCCGACTCTTGCTTTGATATCGTCATCTGTGCCACCCACCAACTGTAGTTGTAACAGTGACGGTTTAACTAAAATCACTTGTTAGATTTCATTGTGGTTATTAACCATATAAAGCTTAGTGAATATCTACTTCACATACATAAGCCGCTGTCCTCACATACGGCTACTATATTCGGTGAAGTATCTGTTTTCAGCAAATCAAAGACAGGTTTCTGTTTTACAGTAATATATATATATATATATATATATCTTCAAATGTGAAGATTGTGAGGACTGAGTTGATTTCAAGGTGGATTTCAGAAAACGATTGAAGTTAGTATTCATGTATTCTTAGATCCTGACCCCATAACCTGCCTGGTAATCTACAGCTCCTGAGTGTGGTACCTGGTGGAGTCATCCATATGATATGCATTGCCGTAGACTCCCGAACTGGAAGGAATTTTCTAACCAGTGTTTATTGGCTTTCATTACTTCTTTGTTGCTGACCGTGATAAAACCCACCAGTCTGAGCGTCGGTGACACAGTGGTTAGGACTCTCGCCGATCATGCACATGGTCCGAGGTTCGATCCCCTGCCGACGCACATCTGATATCTATGGTCGGTCTGCGTAATTTGGGCTACCGATACCGTAGGCTGAAAATTTCATACTTCTACCAAAAAGTACTGTGTGGAATCAAGCTGTAAATAAAAAGGTTTTTATTCAAATAATGAAATTATCCGAAAGAAAGAATTTTGTTTAAGGAATATTTTCCTTCTCATGAGTTTTACTCACCAAAAAACAAAAGAATCTATCGTGTACATTAATTCATC